TTGAGTCACAGAGATTTGGGATCAGATCCAGCAAGGATCTGCCCAACAGAAATGCATATAGATGAGCATCAGCAATCATATGGACCCCCCGCCTGGGAACAATACAAATGTCTGTATCAGCTGAAGAATGGATAACTAAACCATGATGCATTCACAACATGGAGAACTCTACAAGCAAAGGGTGTGGACAGTCTTTGGCTTTGTGGAGCAGCATGGATTATTCTTACAAATAGAATGCTGAGGAATGAAGCCAGACACAAAAGAATATATACCGCATGATTTCATTTTTAGAAAACTTGAAATGCCAAACTAATCTGTGCTGTTGGCTTATATTTATGATATTCATGATATTGATGCAGATATGTGCACACACATAAGCACACGCACTTGAGGAGATGGGTAATGACAGAAAGAGGCTCTGGGGGTGGGGGTGGGGTGTTTGCAGGGTGCTGGCCATGTTGTTTCTTGACCTGAATGCTGATTCCCTATGTATGAAGTAGGAATAATATTAATACGTATCTCATAGGAGTGTTAGTATTAACTGTGAGAATCCAGGGCATGAGGTAATGGTTCAATAAACGTTAGCTATTGTTATTCTGAATAAGCCTTCCAAGGAGGCTCTTGGGGATAAGAGAGCCCTGGACTGTTTCATAGGTCCAGGATCCTGGATGCTACCCTGTCCTTTGTTCTATGTATTTATCGTTCTTGCGATGTCTGGTCGCTTGTGTCTGACTCCTCCACAGAGCTCCTTGGGGCCTTAAGGCCCCTGTGTTACATTCAAGGCCAGCTTCTTTCTCCTCTGTCTTTTTTTTTTTTTTTTTAATTACCTTTATTGATTTCAGAGAAGAAGGGAGAGGGAGAAGGAGAGGAAGATAGAAACATCAATGGTAAGAGAGCATCATTGATCCGCTGCCTCCTGCAGCCCACTCCCCTGCCCCCACCCCCTCACCCCACCCTGCACCTCATAGAGCCTGCAATCCAGACATATATCCTGACCTCTGACCCGAAATCCAACGGTGACCTCCTGGTTCATAGGTCGCTGCTTAACCACAGAGCCCGCCTCTTCTCTTAATCTCTGGCACCCTGGTAGTTCTGCTCCCATTTCTGTCCTTGTTCACTTCCTTTAGTATCTCCAATGCCGTCCACATAGTGGGCGCTTCATAAAAATGTGTTGTGCTAAAACCCAGATCTTCGGCACATGGACGCGGGCCCAGCGCTGTGGGCTGACTCCAGCCGAGCTAGCTTTCTATTCAGGGCTTTGATTTTCCTGGTGGGCCTGGCATGTCAGGGGCCATAGTTTTCCTTACCACTCTGGAGCCACCGGGCTTCTGGGTAAAACTGTCTGGCCAAGAGACACAGGCTTTCATTTTTCAGAAAGGAAACCCTTCCCAACTGGTGGAAAATAAGCCCTTGCTTAGTGACTAATAACATAAACACAGACAAGATTTCTGGGCTTATAAATAACCAGCTGTAAGGGTGCCCAAGGGAAGCAGCCCTTTTTGCCATAAGAATGGCCAAGAGCGGTCCTGTCACCTCACTGATAGTGGCCCGGCTGCGGGCAAGGAGCCTCGGGCCGTGGGCTGCGGAAGCCGGTCATTCTTTAGAGCAGATTCCCAAGGCCTCGCTCTCATACATTGTAAATCCTGGAAAAAAAATAATAGTTGATCCCTAAGGTTCTTTTTGCTTGAAAACCTTCTGCTTCTGCGGCAGCCACAGCATGTTTTAAAGAGCTCTGTTGGCGGGGAGAGGCCAGTCATAGGGCTTTGTTTTGCCAGAAGCTGCCTAAGAGGCAGATGAAGTAATTAGGAGAGTAACTCCTATCTATTGAGCCCTGGCTGAGGCACTGCACGGAGGATGCTGGACCCGGCAGCTCACGGAATCCCACGTCACTGTGTGAGGAAGTCGTTAACCTTGCTCGGCTGATGAGGAAACCAAGGGTCAGGGGGTTTAGTGCATATAATAACGGTAGAGTGAGTAATAGTGCAGAGCATGGAGTGTGTAGTCAGACCACGGGCTCGGGCCTGCCTTGGCCTCGTCCGAGCTCTGTGGCCATGGCAGTTACTAACCTTTCTACATCCAGGATTTTTCATCTGTTGCATGAGGGATATGGACCAAGGCCATAGGGCATAATTCATGCAGAAAGCTGTTAGGCCAGTGCCTGCACATGGTAGACCTTCACTGAGGGCTCAAGGAGCTGCATGAATGGACACCGCATTGCCTTCTTGATGAAGCATTGATGCTTTGAGTCTAGAATGGTTGTTTGCCTTTAGCTAATCTGGAGTTACAGGGGGGGGTCATGACCACAAGACTCCAGCTGTTTCCTGTGGGAAGGCTGAGGGTAGGGTTCCAGAGCCAGCCAGGCCTGGCCACTTGGACATTTCTTTCACCTGGCTGTCCCGCTGCCCCGCCTGCAGCAGTGAGGGGCTGATTTTATCAGTTGGGTACCATCTCATTCATCCAGTGTTTTCCACACTGGCTCCTGGTTAGTTCCTCTGGCTTATAATAAGAATACTGAAATGGCCAAATCCACCTGCAAATCTCTTGAGTTAAAGAAACCAGACTCTCCGAGGGCCATCAGGTATTAACAGTTTCCAAATATGTTGCCTCAGTTTGACCTCGGAGCCCCGTTTTCCTCAGAATAGCTTGCAGTGCTCCATGGAACATGCATTTGGAACTGTTCCCCACCCCCCTCCACATGCAGCCAGCAGCTGGGCGAGAGTGAACTGTGGGAAATCAGAGAGGATGGGGACCTGGGACAGGTGGGCAGGATTGGGATATACTTTAGGATCAGTGGGACTTACTGTTGCAATCTGCTTAGTAAAATACGTGGCGTATTGAAGTGTGTTGAACTGAACTGCGATTATGTCTCCTTGATACCATGTCAGCCTGTTGGGAAGGGAAGAAGCCTGTGGCTGAGGCCTCCCTTCGGTTTGCATGGGGCACTGACCCACACCTGAGAGACACTGCAGGGACCACTGGCTTTGACCTTTAGTCTTTGGCATCAGACTCTTCGGGGTGTGAGGCGCCTTGTTTCTTTCCCTGTTGAAGTGCTTTCCCTCTCCTTCCCTCCCCCCAGCCCTTGCAGAAGGAGGAAACCCTCTGCCCGCTTTTGGGAATATCACTCTCTCATTGTTGGAGCCCGAGCCAGGCATCCTGAGGCGGCTTTTCCCGTTCCCAAAGTTTATTGTTAATGAAAAGTGCACACCAGGCTGAAATCCCTGGCAGCAGCTGGAGCCGCAGGGTACACCGAGGCCAGCAGACGCAGGAGCAGCCAATTTTATCTGGCTCTTCTCGTTCTCCTCTCCTCCTCCTCTCTGCCCTCCTCCTTCCCCCTTAGTTTTATCAGAGAGGTTTGGCTGGACTTGAAGGAGCCAAAAAGGAACGGGAGGGGGTCTGAGTTTCTAGCAGCAGTGACAAGGTGTGGGAGGACAGGGGACCCAGGCCTGGGCACCTTCCAGTTTGACTCAGTTCTCAGTGTGTGTGTGTGTGTGTGTGTGTGTGTGTGTGTGTGAGTGTGTGTGTGTGTGTAGTAGGCCCTTGGGTTCCAATAATATCAATACCAATTGTAATAGCTAACCTTGAGTGCATGCCGTAAGGATAGGCCTTGTTCTAAGCATTTAGCATACCTCACATCAATGAACTCTCCCAGCAGTTCTAAGAAGTACATCCTAATATTATGCACATTTTATAGTTGACTCAGAGAGATCAAGCAACTTCCCCAGAGTCACACAGCAAGTAAAAGGGAGATCCAGGAATCCCACTTGCCAGTGTCTGGTTTCAAAACTATACTTTTTTTTTTGACTCCAAGCTCAGGCAGGCAGAGGCACTGGATATATAAACTAGCAAATAAATTCATGCAGTTTGAAAGTCCTTTGATTGCAAGTACAGTAAAAAATGAGAAGGAGGGCAAAGTGGAAGCCATATTTGAGTTCATCCTCAACTGATGAGTTACAAGAACATGGAGGTGAGAAACATGTGTGTATGCGTGTGTGTGTGTGTGCTTGTGGTGTGTGTGTGTGTGTGTGTGTGTGTGTGTGAGAGAGAGAGAGAGAGAGAGCAAGTAGTTCTGCATGGATGGACATTGGACATACAGTGTCTTACTGGGATTGGTAGAAGCTGGTGAGATGGAGGAAGGCAGTCAGAGGTCTTTCAGGGAGGGTCTTGGGTAGCCTACAAAGGTGTGTTTTTATTTTATTTTTTATTTTTATAACATATATCTTGGGTGTGAAGCATTTAAAAAACAATTATTATTTTGTCTTTGCTCAATGGGCATGTTATGTGAAAGCCCAAATATGAAAAACAGCAGTGCTGGTTGAGGCAGTGCCGAGGACCAGAGCCTATCCTTTGAGGCCTCCCTGAGCCCGATGCCCGGGCATCTGCCTGGAACTTCAGGAACTCAGACGCACAGAGTTTTAAACATTTCACTGTTTGAGAATATCAGGGTTGGGAGAGAGAAGCACTTAGTGATAGGCAATTATTTACTTATATGTGATTGTCCAGAATGCCCTTATGAAGGTTTGAATTCACTCATTTAATAAATATTAATTGAGCCCCCAGGTGCTGGGGATACATTAGAGAATGAACTGGAACCACTCTCATTTGCAGTGTGATGGAGGAGACAAAATAAACAAATACGCAGAATTGTTGTGTGATAAGCTTAAGTAAGGGTCCACAGGATCATATAGGCCCTGGTGAGCCACATTGGAAACTTATGGGCTTTCTTTTGAGTGAGATGGAAAGTCTGGAAGGTCTTAAGCAAAGAGATGACAATATCGGTCACCAACTGTGGGTCAGAGGAGCTTATGAGATCCTCGTAGCTACTGTGATGATATAGCCCTCTAGGCTAGAAAACTCGTGGTGTAGAATTGCCCAACGTGTGTCCTTCCCTGCAGCCATCTGCCCCACCCCTCGCTCAGCGACATCTCTGATGTCCCAGACTGAGTGAGATTGTTGGATTAACAGGGTGTTTGTATATTGCTGCTCCCTCCCTCCCCCCACAGTGTTTGAGAACAAAGATAAGATTGTGATCATCATGGAATACGCCAGCAAAGGGGAGCTGTATGATTTCATCAGCGAGCGGAGACGCCTCAGCGAGCGGGAGACCAGACACTTCTTCCGGCAGATCGTCTCGGCCGTTCACTATTGTCACAAGGTACCGGCGGCCAGAGCTTTGGCCATGGGTGGTGTCAATGGTGTCACTTTTTTTTTTGTGTGTGTGTGTGTGTGTGTGTGTGTGTGTGTGTGTGTTTTCACATTTTGAGGGTAATGTCTGTTCATTACAGTACTCATGGAGAATTTAGAAAATGACCCCCATTCATAGATAATTCCAGAATCCAGTAATAACTCCTTGTTGACATTTTTGTTTCTTTCTAATCTCCTTCCTCCTACTTTCAACATTGTTTTTTTATTTGAATTTTTTATTTAGAATAATTTTAGATTTATAGTAGTTTCCCAATAGTACAGAGAGTTCCCATATACCCCTGACTCAGCTGACCCTGTGGTAACATCTTACCACAGCGGTCGGCAAACTCATTCGTCAACAGAGCCAAATAGCAACAGGACAACGATTGAGATTTCTTTTGAGAGCCACAATTTTTTAAACTTAAACTTCTCCTAATGCCACTTCTTTAAAGTAGACTCATCCTGGCCGTGCTATTTTGTGGAAGAGCCACACTCAAGGGGCCAAAGAACCGCAGTTTGCTGACCATGGATATAGACCAACAGCCTATTGGCTGATGACTCTTTTCACCTGTCGGTGGGCTGGCTGCTTGTCACTGCAGCTCAGTTTCCAGCCTTCCCAGAGTTTACCTGAATGGGTAGGTCATCCAGTGTGGCAGCGACCTGCCGACCTGCTATGGTGAACCCAGTGGTTATGGTCTCACCAGCCTCCCCCACCTTCACCCTTCACCTGCATTGAGTCCCGCCAAGTTGAAGGGGACTTTGAAAACCTTCCCTCCCAGCTGCTTAGGAAACACCCATGGTAGCAACTTTGTTATCAGAACAAGATAGAACCAGGCTTCTTTCCAGCATCGAGGAGGCAGGCAGGCAGGCAGACAGACAGACACGCACGGTCTGGGAGCCCTGCATTCTGAGTCCCCAGCAGAGAAATCTGCTTCTTCCCTGGGAATCACATCACAGACAGACACGGTTTGCCGCCGCCTGGGACTGCGTTGCTTTCACACAGTGGAATGACATTCCGACAAAGGATCCCCCTGCTGTTTTACAGGCTCTGGGGGAGAACAGATTCCAGTCATTTTTCCCTTAACCACACAGCAAGTGACTAATGCTCTGCTGTCCCGGGCTCTGGCGGGAGCTGCATGACAGGGAGAGCAGCCCTGAAGGAGGGAGGCGAAGACCACCGGGCTGGTGCATCTTTCATCTGTCAGATGCTTCCCTTTGCTGTGCCTCTGCCTCTCTCTCTCTCTCTCTCTCTCTCTCTCTCTCTCTCTCTCTCTCTCTCTCTCTCTCTCTTCTCTCTCTCTCTCTCTCCTCCCTCTTTCTTTCTCTATCTCTCATCCCATACACTCCCATTCAATTCCCCGCCTGTCTTCTCATTTCAGAACGGTGTGGTCCACCGGGACTTGAAGCTGGAAAATATACTGCTCGATGACAACTGCAATATTAAGGTAAACCTTTTGCCTCCATGATGGATATGCAGGGCCTGGGGGTGGCATCCGGTGGGGGTTTGAGCTGCTCCGAACTACAGCTTAGAAATAAGGTGGCCACTTCCTTCCCCAGCAGGCGGGCAGGGAGCGTCGCTGGGCTTGCGTCCTCTGTTCAAACTCCGTAAGCCGTTTACCCATGTTCAACTACATGCCAGACATTCGTCTTCTTGCTGGGATAATTAGGTGACTACAATACAGCCTCTGTCTTAGGCAAATTCATGGTCTGCAATCATTACAATCATTGCCATAAAAATATTTAGTACAATAACACTTACGTTATGTATTTCAAGTTATCTGTGTCTAATAGCATTTAAATTCGATCTTTACAAGAACCCTAGGACAGTGGTCGGCAAACCGAAACTCGAGAGCCACATGCGGCTCTTTGGCCCCTTGAGTGTGGCTCTTCCACAAAATACCACATGCATGCACACACGTATAGTGCGATTGAAACTTCGTGGCCCATGCGCAGAAATCGGTTTTCGGCCTGGGCGAGTCTATTTTGAAGAAATGGTTCTAACGCCGAGTCAGACTCTCAAGGGGCCAAAGAGCTGCATGTGGCTCTCGAGCCGTGGTTTGCCGACCATTGCCCTAGAAGATAGGTCCTCTTGTTCACATCATTTCCTAGCTAGGGACCCTACAACACAGAGACGTTAAGTCACTTACCCAAGGCCACACAGTAGCAGGTAGTGGAGTTGGGATTTGAACCCATGTCTTTCTGACGTGTGAGCCCTCGTTCGAACCACTGTGCTCGGTTTGCCAGCAGGGCCCCGAGTTACCTTAGAGCTGGGACCCTTTCCCTGCCACTTTCTGCCACTCCCCTCCCTCCCACCCCTGAGACCTGCCTGGGACTGGGCAGCTGATTGAAAGGGAGGTGGTGCTCACTGTTGGGAAGGAGCAGCCCGTCCGGTGATGGAGTTTACTTTCATGGAGAGTATTATTGCTGGCTGCTGCTGGAACTGGAGAAAGTGCTCCTGGCCAGTAGGGTTCAAGTGCCTCCTGCAGAGCACTCAGGACGTCCCTTTGATCACATCGGCAACATAAGCAAATACGGTTTCAAAATAAACGGAGCTCGCTGCGTGGGTTTCATTATGAAATGGCCTCGGTCCTCCTGGCACCGGGGATCCCTCTAATTAGCCACTGGTGACGTGAGTGCCTCCTCCCTCGTCTCAGGACCAAGCCTGGGAATGACCTTGCATCGCCCCCTTTTGTTGTTGAATAAGTTGCTCTGAGTTGAGGAGGGGTATCACGGGGGACTCTTTCCTTGTTTGGAAGGATGGAGCTGCTTTGGCATCTGACCATCGTGTAGTCACCATCATCCTTCGAGAGGCTCCTGGAAGCCACATCCGGTGACATCTTGTGTTTGCGAGGGGTTGACTGTGGTCACATAGTTCTGTGTAGTCCTTAGAATGAGGAGGAACGAGTTGGTCAGAGCAGCTTTCCTCTAGGAACAGGAAGTGAAATCTCCGATTCTGGCCGAGTGGCTGGAGAATTCCAGCAGGAGGCTAGATGCAGAGTGAGAACACTCCGTCCCGGGTGGCTTACTAGTTCCTTGATGTTGGGTAATGCTCTTCACACCCTGTGAACTAGAAAATGCGGTAACAGCCGTGCCCACAGGCTTGTTTTGAGGAGTCAATGAGATAGTTTGTGTTTAGCTTTATACACTGCTGAGCCCTGGGTAGTGAGGCCAGGGAAGAGCGGTGGCTTTGGAGTTGGCTCGCCTAGCCTTTGAATGGCAGCCCTGCCTGTTACCGATGGCAGTGTTTTGGGTAAATGACTTGCCTGCCTAAATCTCAGTTTCCTTATTTGTCCACTGGGGTTGCCAGGCCACCTCTGATGATTGCTGTGGATTTGTTCACTTTTTCACTCAGAGCAGTTATTGTGTGCCATGCCCTGTTCCCAGTCTGGCAATGACAGACATGAGGATTTTAGACAGTATAGAGTCAAAGCACTTAGCACTTCACGCTTCACGTCCAAGGTGCCTCCTTACATGGGTGGCCACTGGGAGGAAACCGGACAGGACACCAGTTGCTTTGAAGGTACTGATGGACTGGCCACGGCGAGAGAATTGGGTTCTGGTTTGAGAGACACATTGTGAGGGTTTGTGTCATCCACCCTGTTAACTTCCTCTGCAGATTCTTCCTCCCACCTGCCCCCAGAGCTCTCCAAACTAAATGTAGTCTTACAAGGCCTGGAATGTGAGCCTCTCACTTGGGGGTTGGGTTCTGTAGTACAGGGTGACCTCTTGCTCCCATGATGTAGTCCCAGCAGTGATAAGGCACATAGCTTCCTAGGGAGTCATAGACTTGCCCAGAGGAAAAGAATGGTTAGAATTCTGAATGCAGCTGAGCTGGGAACAATAGGCAGGAGCCCCGGAGAATGGCTCATTGGCATAAGCAATAGTGCCATGGCGTTGGGCCTCCCAGTTCCCGGGACAGAGTCCTTCAATCTAGGATCCTTGTCCATGAGTGGGAAATAGCAGATATAGCACATTATAGAAATTAAGGTTTGGGCCATATCTTATGCTTTAGGATTCTTAAAAACAACAACAACAACAACAACAACAAAAAACTATATTTTTATTGATTTCAGAGAGGAAGGGAGAGAGAGATAGAGACTTCAATAATGAGAGAGAATCATTGGCTGGCTGCTTCCTGCACACCTCCCTCTACTAGGGATCGAACTGGCAACTCAGGCATGTACCCTGTCCAGGATCCAACCACGATCTCCTGATTCATAGGTTGATGCTCAACCACTGAGCCACATCAGCTGAGCTAGGATTCTTAATCCTTAAGATTTTTTTTGTTTGTTTGTTTCTGGTATCTACTAGTGAAGAAAACAACACACACCTCCCGAACAGAAACAAAACCTTCCCATTCTCTGCTATGAATCCTTCCTTTTGCTTATTCAAGGAAAGCTGCTAGGATCTGAGACCTCTAAAGCGTGAAAGAAACTTGAGGGTCATTTCCAAACCCTTTGTTTTAATGATTGTGGTCCAGAAAGTCTGAGTGATGTGCCCAGGATCAGACGCAGTGAATCAGTGCAGATGAAATGACTGTGTCTTTGTTGCCCTAGCGTGTGGCACAATGCCTGTCACACAGTAGGTGCTCATCAGCTGTTTGATTGGAGTGAAGGGATGACAGCCAGGATTAGAATTCAAATGTTTGACTTCCAGACAAATTTTCTTTTCATCATCTCACACCCACTTCCAAGGTTTTTAAAAAAAATGTGTTTCAGCTGGTGTTGATTTGTCTCCGGCTGGATAGGCTCAGCTCTTCCCCAAGTCAGCATTTTGCTGAAAACATATTTATAAAAGGGCACTTGTGATAAAGGCGGCAGACACAGACACATGGCTGCAAGCTGGGCTCCAAGTTCAAGAGAGCCCATGCCATTGGTATCTGGACAAGGGGACCATTGACACGGATGGCCTCTTACCCACCAATGGGACATGAGCAGCGAGATGCTTCTCGGTGCCCCCTCCCGTGTCTCTCTAACTGTGGGTGCATCTTCCCAATTCCGAAGGCAGAGGGCCATTGCCCAGGAAGACTAGGAAATTGCTACTGGTTGAAACATGTCACATGTCGCTGCCATTTCAGTGGGAGCCACGCAGCTGCTCCCCGTCCCTTCCCTGCCTGATGTTGATTTGCAGAGAGCACATCTGGCACTGGGAATTACTTATCTGGCCAGTGCGCGAGAGGGTGTGGCTTCTAAAAATATTCACACAGTTGGTCGGCAGAAAGAATGAGAGCAATGTGCTTCTTTGGGTTGCATTCCGTACTCCGAGGAGAAGAAGCATGTCTACCAAAATAGACACCCAGGATAGCATTAATTTGCAATTAATAAAAAACGGGCCAGATTTCACATCCCATTCTCTGGGAGAATAGAATGCCGACAATTCCCATGGGAGGCTCCTGTAAAAAACACACACAAAAAAACCGCCTTACAATGAGAAGAGGTCCAGGCACCAGGGTCAGCTGACCTCCTCAAAGAAGGCTGAGAATTTGGTGAGCTCCCAGCACTCAGCGTACAGGGGCGGAGGGGAAATGGCCTGCTGCCCCTGATGACAATGGAAACCCAGCTGCTGGGGATAAGAAAAGAAGCTTTGAATGGCTGGGGCTCGGGCGAGATAGAAGCCCTGGGAAGCTTAAGGAGACCAAGGGGAGGCGGCTCAGGATCCGCGCCTCTGGGCTTTGAGTATATGAATGTGAGAATGTGCATTCATGCGTTCAGTAATCCGTTCATTTGTTCGCCTATCCATTTGGGTGGGTATTTACATATGTATTCATGTGTGCTTGCGTTCACTCACCCATTCCTGCACTTACTCGTTCAGCAAATCCAGTCTCTTCAGTGGACAATATTGACTCAAGCACACATGTTTACTATGTTTCTACTGGGTACCTGGCTCTGTGCTGGTTGCTGGGAATTTACCAGTGAACCCGATGGTTGGGCTCCTGTGTTCTTGGAGCTCAGAATCTAGCACCATCGGTCAAGATGAGTCAGGAGAGGGATACGGAGGTGAACGAGGAGAATAGGTACCTGCCCTGATGGACTTAGAATTTTAGTTCGGGACACAAGCAATTAACAGAAATATATAATGTCATCGTCCGGCAGTGAAGAAAATCCATTCAGGGTTAACTCAGAGAATGGCAGGTGCTATTTTAGCGAAGATGGTCAGGGAAGGCTCTTGCATAGGACTCAAGCTTCTGAAATCTACCCAGCTTTCTCTGGTTTTCTGTCCTTCGCACACATGGTTCCCTCCGCCTGGGATGCTCATCCCACTGCTCTTTGCCTGTCTGTTCTTTGATCTCAGCTTGAATGCCTCTTCTTCCAGGAAGCCTTTTCTGATCCTTTTCCCTTGGCAGGACCCGGTGGCCCTGCTATCGGCCTCAGGGTGCCTTGTGTGATATGCTGTGGGAATGCTGAGCAGGAAGTGGCGGGTCTGTAAGCTGGAGGGACCAGAAAGC